AAGGCGAAATGGAAAAGCCCAAGCATTGGACGATGATTTTGAGCTGTTACAGTGATCTTAGTAATAAGCCAATGTAAAACGTCAAGAGAGCTTTTTTGCAGCCTTTTTGTAATCGTTTCGATCAAAACATCGTTAGTTTTGGTGAATGATTTACCATATGTGATTCTAATGTGCTTCTTGTTTTGTTTTAGCTTTTTTTCGCTTTTTTTCGATGACTAGAGCCTATTTTCAAAATGTATATATTGCCTTGTTCTCTGCGCGCATGATCTAGGCGATGCTTGCAGTTATTCTTGAGAGAGCTTTATAAGTGCTTAGTTAGAGTGTTGCATCATCATTTTCAAGGTCTGAGAAACCACGGGTTCATCCCTGACCAATGTGCTGTGTGCAACAGTTACTTTTAGGTCGATTGATAGTCTGGTAGCTAAATAGCATCATCAAGTTGTATGTTGTTGTAATTTATCAACTCTCTGTTTTTTTCTTGCATAATCAATTTCTTTTAATATTGCATATTGCAAAATTATCTGATCTAAAGATGAAGGTGTATATCTCCTTTTTGCAATACTTGTAAGTTCTGGCGCCGACCAGCTGTTTTCATTGTTACTAAAAAATTGTTTTTTTAAGTACTCTTTCCATAATTAGGAGCATTTCTCTGTGCCCGCTGTATCTGCACCAACTAGGATGTCAAATCCAATAAGCATCTGTTACGTGCAGTCATACTGCACTTGTTTGCATCTGAGATATGGCGCCAGTATAATTTCCAGGTAAAATTTCACAATTAGTCCATATGACAGTCTAAGGAGAAGATCCTCGCAAGTCAGTTTGGAGTTAAGAATTTTGACTAGTTCTGTTGCGTTCTGCAACATTTGAATCAAGCAAATTGTGCTCCAACTTTACCACTAGAACTCCGTTACATTTTTACGTAAAATACTTTAACTCAAGTATGCAAATATTTATCAATTAATGGCGGTAAAAGATTAACTCGAGGGGCATGGTCTGGAGTGGACTAGACACCCCCTTACGGCCAGTTTTTAAGGCTTTACCAAAATTTGGTGCTATAACTTTTTATGTTAACTAAATTCAAATTTTCTCAGAAGGGCACGGGAAGAAAATCGTTCGAAGAAGGACGTGGCATATATGGGACTAGGCCAGCTTCTTTTTACCAATCCTACGAGTTTTTTTCTCAAAGTTTAGTGCTTAAAGTTTTTTATTATATTAGATGCTCTTTTTTTCGATTTATTTAGGCAGGTTATCCCTTCTCGTTTGATAATTGATAGCTCATTCTGGCTAGTATTATAACACATTTAGCCCTTCTTCCTTTTTACCCTTTTCAATTATATTTTGGCATTTTCCTGGGAAAATCGCTTTTTCTAATGTCAAACATCATAATCATCGTTTATGTTGTGTTTGTATCCACGAATTGTAATGCGCTGTTATGGCTGGCGAGTTTCTTTACTATTCTACACAAGCTCGATTCACTCTGCTACCACTGCTGGTCAAATTTAGTTTCTAAATCTGTGATCAAATTACCTCTGTTTTTCTATTCTTCAGTTAGTTTCCAGTGGAATACGCAATATAAGGAATTAATCAGTGAGTAATGTATTTTGATTCTTTTGACTGATTTTCTTCTCAACGAACATCTTCTGAAGCTTCATTTTTATTTCAGATTTCCATTAGACTTGTTAACTTTGGCAATTCTGAATCCACAATTGCAATATAGTTAGCAGAGTAGGAAGTAGCAGTTTTTACTCAGTGTTTAGAAGCAAAAGAAATGCACATGTCACACTAGAAAATGTTTGCCCAGCCCAACGATTGTCTCTATAGTTCATTTATAGTTGAGTGTTTCAAAACTACATGATGAAGATGACCCTAAGTTCTAGAATTTCTTTTAAAATAGGTGCTAGTATATAAATATCACTAAATATCACGCACTAAATATCAGCCTAAACCCTTGAGCATAGCACACCCGCATTCGTTGCCACAGAAGTTGAGTCGCTGCATAGAAAAGCTCTTCTGAACTTACATGCAACTTCACGAATACCTCATTTCTATTCCTTTTTCTCCTTCATTTTCCAAGAATGCTAAAAAAAATAATACGAGGAGAAGCGCAATGGTAAATCCCAACTCTTTGTAAACAAAGGAAGTCCAAAAGAAAGTATGCAGAAAAGCTTTTGCGGAGAAAAAGTTGTTTTTTCTTGGGAAAAGTGTAGATCACGACCTATGAATTTAAAATAAATGATTGAATTCTATTATCATCAATGTAACAGCAACTTCACTGCACTTTAATAAGCTAGAGACGTAAGACACCCAATTCTTTCCATA